ACAGAACCTCACTACTAACAGGACCATGCTGCTAACAGAACCTCACTACTAACAGGACCATGCTGCTAACAGAACCTCACTGCTGGTAGTACCATGCTACAAACAAGACCACACTGTTAACAGGACCATGCTGTTAACAGAACCTCAATGCTAACAGGACCATGCTGCTAACAGGACCATGCTGTTAACAGAACCTCACTGCTGGTAGTACCATGCTACAAACAAGACCACACTGTTAACAGGACCATGCTGTTAACAGGACCTCAATGCTAACAGGACCATGCTGCTAACAAGACCTCACTGCTAACAGGACCATGCTGCTAACAAGACCACACTGTTAACAGGACCATGCTGTTAACATAACCTCACTGCTAACAGGACCATGCTGCTAACAGAACCTCACTGCTAACAGGACCATGCTGCTAACAGAACCTCACTGCTAACAGGACCATGTTGCTAACAGAACCTCACTGCTAACAGGACCATGCTGCTAGCAGAACCTCACTGCTGGTAGTACCATGCTACAAACAAGACCACACTGTTAACAGGACCATGCTGCTAACAGAACCTCACTGCTAACAGGACCATGCTGCTAACAGAACCTCACTGCTAACAGGACCATGCTGCTAACAGAACCTCACTGCTAACAGGACCATGCTGCTAACAGAACCTCACTGCTAACTGTAGGTACAAAGGAAGCATTGAGTACTTAATGTTAACATGTATTCAAGTCAGCAATGCTACTAAATGAAAAATATGGTTTTAGAAAATTGTTTAGACAATATAGATATATAGACAATATAAACTTTTTTAAAAGCTCCTAAAGGCACTTTCTTCTGTTCTGTTCCCCCAGCTTCAGAACCGACAGCAGAACTTTGTTGGTGTCTAATGGGCTTTGAGGGCTGGATACCGGCTTGAAGGGCTGGGACACGAGATCGGGGGCCCGATCAAAGCAACCGCCTAGTTATACATGGAAATTCACCTGGTGATGACAGAGCTGAGGTAAATACGTTCAGACATGAGCAGATGTGGCTGGAACTGCACCTCCAGATGTCTTGATATGTCTCAGTGTGTCTTTTCAAGGATGACGAAGTTCACAGATGGGTCCTGCCAGAATCCAGGAAGTGATTTTCTTTTCTTTTCATGAAGTGTTCCAGGTTCCTTCAACACAGAAGTCTTACAGGGCATTGTCAGACTAAAGCTGGAATAGTCCACTAAAGTCAACAAGAGATAAGGTTGGTTAGTTTGACCAAATTTGTCAAATTAACAACAAGACAATGAAATATAACGCTGTCACTTTTGCAGTTATTGTCATAAAATTTAGTGTGGTAGTAGTTAAAGATCATCCGCAATACATAATCCGAGCACTAACTGATCACACAAGACCTTGCAACATTGCACGTCATTTCCAAGATTTGACCAAAATGGTTAAAACTACGATTCTTTCTCAACATAAGGTGATTTTTGTGTTCACGCTGGAGGCAATAAAGGGTAAAATAAGACATTTTTTGCCCTAAAGAGTCTTATCAGATTTTTATGACAGTATAAATATGACAACTCTGATTTATTAATTTTTTTCCAACTCTGACTCAGATCTTTCTGATGGGAAAAAAATTCAATCCATTTATGCTTTTTTCAAAGCGACCTCCATCTGAACGGTAAGGAACCAATCCCATCACTGCGGGCTGACGGTGGGCCGTTTGTCTCCTCCTGATTCTATTTTATTTACTTGTGTTTTTCATTCAATTACAAATGTGATTTTAAATGTTACTAAGTAAAATAGTTTAAATAAAATGCAATCAAGAAAATAAAAATATAGATTGGAACTATTACTTGAAAAGGCAGAAAGAACACAAAATTTGTATTTAATTTCATAATGCAAGTAAATGTAATTTGCTACTCTCCTC